CTATGACTTGTCAACTTACGTCTCAGGGTGTCGGGCGCAGTAGCAGTGCCCCTTGGATCTTTGTGATTTAAAGCTCTGAATCGCGCTTACTACCAGGCGCACGACTTGTACGTCCTGTCACTTGGTAGTATAAAAAAACTAAAGTAGCGAGAGGGTAGTTTGCAGACTCTCCTGGCTATCTGGACTTTGTTCGAGTTTTTGGAGTAGTGTTTTGTGTCGGGGTTTTTACTTTTGATTTAAGTTTTATGTAATAACAATAATATTCAATATCAAACTTTAAATGCATCGCTGCAAAGACCATTGATCGATATCCCAGATCGATATCGGGAACATCAGGACCAAGGCTACGCAGTATCTTTAAGGCGCATGGCCAGAAAATGGACCACATTTCCTGTATCAGGATTTTCGTGTACATATAACTCTAATATCTTCAAAGACAGGATAAACTGGCGTCTTCTCGGCAAGCTCGGTCCATCGCCAACCTGATCTTGACGGAACACATTGCCTGTATCTGGGGATCTACTCTCGTTCTCGGTCCGACATGCGTCCGAAAGAATTACTATCAAATAAGTAATACTCAACCGAATTAAAAGACAATGTGAATTATGAAACTTTATGTACATCGTGAGCACTTTTAATTTAATCAAGTATTACCAATTTGACAGTAATTATTTCGGACGGATATCGGACGGAAAACGTGAGACTGCAGGTTGATTTTGATTGCCTCTCCCGATCGGAAACTGCGTCTCTTCCAAATCAAGGCGCATAATTGCGATTTACAACTGGCCGATCGGAAACTTTTGACATTTGAAATCGGAACAGTAGTTGATTTAACTCACAAATTAGAAAGATATAATAGGAATCAGGTTCATCTCGCTCGGAATCTACCCAATCGGATCGGTTCCGATTTGAATTAAAATCAACCTGCAAGGCCTGTTTCCTTCTACATACATATAACACTGACATCTTCAAAGTCAGGATAAACAGGCGTCTTCTTGACAAGCACGTTTCATCGTCAACCTGACCTTAATTTAGCGTTTAGGCATTAGATTGTAGTTAAAGTTGCCTGACAAGAAATTGTATTCCATAATATAGCAACTAAAGGGTAAAAAAGATAATCCAACCATTTTCCCCTTATACTTTTATAAGCAAAACACTATTCTTCTAAACAAACTATTATCTACTTGCAACAGTTCTACACGTACACAAATCCTAATTAACATAACTAGTTCATCGACTTCAGATCAGAAGTCACATTAATGACGTACTTACAACAATAGGCGGTAGGTACATTAGATCATGCGTGTGCGACTACAGTACGTCATCATTACGGCCTTGAAAACGAGATTGATATTAAACGCTTCGATTACAATTATTTTGTATTTTGCCTTGTGTTTTTTTATTGGTTTGGTTATAGATAGATTTTTCCAGTTGTTATTTAAAGTATTGATTTCTTAAATTTTATTTCAATTTGCATCTTTAGTATAAATATAACGACGATGTTTGACGACTTCGGTGGCCTAACGGTTTACATTATTGTCCTGCATGCGGAAGTCCCGGGTTCGATCCCCGGTAGGATCAATTTGAGAAACGAACTTTTCTAAATTGGTTCTAATCTGGGTGTTCAGGGAAGTGCCCCAAAGTGAATTCCGTTGCTCTGGTATATATAGTAGAGGAAATTCCCTAGTTTGAGACCAGGCGATTGGCGTGGTGGTCTGGCACATATTGTTATAAAAATTATTTTATTATCGACAGCATTCGCAATTATTTTATTATCGATAGATCTACCGCCTCTCAAGCAGAGGACTGTGTGTTCGATCCGGGTTCGCACCTCTGAGTTTTTCGATGAATGAAAACATCCTAGGAAACCTATAAGTCGAAGAAGGTTTAGAACACTCAGAAAAAACGTCCCCAACCCGCATTGGCCAGGGTGGTGGACTATGGCCTAAACTCTCGCCAAAGGGGAGATCCGTGCCCAACAGTAGGACTTACAAATGGGTTGATAACAACAATTTATTTAGTTTTAGTGTGAAGCTACTAAAGTGGTCTGTGACATTTGTTTTGTCAAAGACGCGGGGTTATAGTCTTCAAGATGGTTCTGTCTGTGCCTATGCTAATTGTGTAAGTTGGAAGAAAGCCCGATGGCCCGATGTTTTTTCGACTAGGTGTTGCCATTTTTATTTTGACAAATAATCAGTATACTAATCATTATTCACATAAAAAATAATTGAATATCAATTAAATAAAAATTTAAATACAGTTATCTCAGCCGGGGCTGATAGCTGTAAAGGTATCTAACTGAGTGACGAAATACTTTCATAGATTTCTCATAAATGGCGTTACGGCTAAAAAGTCGTTAAAAACGAAATACAAAGATACGACAACAAGCACATAGAAAAATTCGCGAAGTCCGCTGGTTCATTTCCTGGCTTAGCGTCTAGCACGGTTTACTAGAAGACGTCGGTTCGAATCCGGTCGGATCGAAGGAATTTTTTGTAAGTGTTCGGTCTTCGTATTAATAATTATAACAAACTAGTGGAGTAATTTCACATAAAAAATAATTGTATATCAATTCAATAAAAATTTTAAAAAATTCATCATTGTTTTATACTAAATATTTAGTAATTAAATAATAATAAAAAAGAATTGCAACCGTAGGACTGCAATTATGAGTGTGATAGATCTGTTTTAAACATGCCATTGGCGGAGTTACGTAAATTTTTATTACCCACAACAATTGTGTGATACTAAACACTACATGTAATTTATTGTTTCTACTTCTAGACTTTTATCTGTCAATTATAATTTCGTAAACCATATCACAAACGCGCTCTTTTTAGTTCTGAATCAAAATTCTATTGTGCATGGTACTCACTATTGAACTGAAAATTTTCATTATAATTCTATACACAGAACTATAATGAGAGAGCAAATTGAAAAGCACTTCCTGTTAAACTCGGAAGTTCATCAGTAAAATAAGTAGAAAGTAATAATTTCTTTTGATAATAATATATATTGTGTATTATTTATAATATTAATATATGTATGTATTTACGTGTGTAAAGTTTATGTAGGTTTCTACAGGCTGTATATTTGAAAGTGGGATATATTTATACAGTGCGTTATGAATATGTCTCACTTTCAAATATGTATACAGCCTGTATATCATCAATATTTATATTGTTGTCATTGATAATTATATATATTGTGTTCCTGAACAGGATAACGTCACTATATTCGTGAAATTATCACCTGTTACATAACAGGTACAAAGGCATAAACTTTTAGCAAAAAGAACTTAAAAACAATATAGAAAATCAAATATGACGCTACTCGAACGCTCTACCGCCTCCTGATTGTTTAAAATATAGGCGGTAGTATCGCGGATACTTCTATCTCCTTGGTTTTTGGCTTTCTTTTTTGAGTTTTTGAATTTATTCATAAAAAGTGTTGTATGCAATCATTATCATTACATAATTAGGTGTTAGAATCTCGTAGTTATTACTTAGGCCACGCGGCACAGCCTCGTGACCTAACCGGTACCCGATTTAAACAACCTTCGTTATGTAACGATTACATAAAATACTATTATATTTATTATTTATTTATTTATTATAATCTGTTAAGATAAATAAACGATTTTATTATTATTGTTTTGAGCATCTATTTTTTCCCATGGACTAAAATACAAATTATTGAATTTTTAAATGGGGAAGGCGATTAGTAGAAACACTGTAAAAATTATAAGAATGTGTCAGATCAACGTAATTCACTCCAGGGCACTAACCGGTATAACCAGATCAGAAGCAATTCAGAAATATTCATTTCCCAAATCGGTTTTAGCGGCGATCGAACCCGGTACTTTCGCATTCAGCACCCACAGTGCTAACCGCTGGGCCACCCAAGGTCGCCAGTGTGTTTCGTGGCAAAATCTTTAAATTGTTGTTGTGTGACATAATTTGTATTATCGGTTTAAAGGGCAACATTCAGTGGGAAAGGTAGCATACCAATGTTATCCTGTATTTCACCTTACACGGTTAGTCTGCATTTTAAAAACTTCCCTGTGTTGTTTCCATATGCGCTGTTGTCGACTTGTACAAAAGCTCTTGTACCGGCGTGCCTCTCTTCTCGGTACACCCTGTTTTGTGTTATTAGGTTTTAATATTGTTTATAGAAGATAGTAGTATTATTACATACATCTTTGCAAAATAAGAGTCGCTAATCTACATTCGGTCCGTACCTAAGGTACAGGTAAACAAAACTAAAATTAAAAGAACAACTTCAGTACAGAGATCATCTAAAAATTTGTTTCCCAAAACATAATGCACGTTCGTTCAAACATAATGACTTAAATTTTGGTCAAAACCTTTGTTACACTCTGTACAGTAAACAGAAGTATATGTATATCATGGTCCTTATGTAGATAGTGGACCTGTATATGTTGGACCGTGTAGCTCGATATAGTGTAATTTTAACCATTTAGGGCTTTATGAAGTACCCATTAAGGTACATAGGTATAGCGAAGAAGTTCTAGCCCTACATTATACTGAATTAGGAAACCCTTATATACAGTAAAAAATAATTATTTACCTTTACTTTTACCTATAATAAAGTACTTCTTTTACACTTTTTTCCATGAAGATAATAAAAGCTTCTTTACTTACATTCCTCGTGCCAACTAGGGGGGTGTTGACATTGGTGGAGTCCCACACAGACCCTATGAGTACCTACTATGCCACTCCTTTGAGTTTGACTCTAGCATATCTTGTATCTTACTTTAGCTTACTTTTTTATAAAAAGAATTTTAAATTCTCTCTTTCCCCGTTTAGTAATATTATCTCTTTTAATTTGGGGTGAGATTTGTCTTCCTCTTTGTTTAATCTCGAGTCTTACATATTTCCAGGCATTGCCGTAAGATTTATTTCGGCTTTTTGGGTCAGTGCCTTAATTTAACAACTTGCGGAAACAACATACTATACTGCAATTTCTTTCTATTTCAGGGTATATCGTTCCTAGGATGGCACCAACGTACGAAGCTCGAGCGTGTTCTTCTAATACTATGCGGGGTTCTCCTCTTCGCTGTTCTGCTGACGGTCTGCTTGCTACTAACAATGAGGGGTCCGTCATCCTATCTACCTGTGCCTCCCTGCTACCAGCCCGAGCCTAAAGGTAGGTTTGATTAAGTTTCAAACTTTGCCCTATTTATCATAACTAACCTAACGCATTACATTTCGGTAACTGTCGAGATGTTAGCACCTAAAATTTTTATTGTCACCTAAAAATGCCAATTAAGCTGTTTCTGATTAAGAGTAAAACTGAAGCTAGATAAGATATAAAAAATCCGATTAGACGGGTTTGTGAGTCGCGTTTCGCTGATCCCAGATATCTTAATAACTCAATTTCGCTAAAAATATCGATTAGGTTAGTTATGACAAGCAGGGCAGACCTGTTGTAATAGTTAAACTTCCAAATTTTTCCTCAGGTACAATTTTTTAGTCATTTCTGAACATTATTGACGTGAAGCTAAAAAAGACAAGGTTAAGGTCAAGGTTCATGCCATTTTCTTTTTGCGAAATGTTTGCACAAAGTCATTTTAAAAAAAACCTGTAAAGAGCGTGGGTTACTTACTGGGTGATATTTGTTTAATTACCTACGCGTTCTGATATGAGACAATAGCGGGCTTTATATAGGGACTATCGCGCGTGATACAAATTGCTGTACGACGTTTCTTACGTTCCCACGTCTTAACTCACGCGGTCAATCAAGCTCGATTGCTGTATAACGCGCGATAGAGTGAGTGTATAAAGGCTCATTTATAGCCCATAAACGAATTAATTATAGACATAATTGTAACTTTTTCATTGAAAAAAAAAACCGACCTCAAAAGTTTGCTTATCGGTCTCATCAGATTCTGACTTCTTGGCAACAATGGGACTATTACGGACTCCTTTGTACATTTTGTATTTTCTTTTCTGGTTGTCATGGTGACGGTGATTTGTTGATTACATGTATTGCGTCAAGTGAAAAGTCGACTTTTATTTGCGGAAAATAATTAGTAATTTGTGATAGTCGAAACGAACCTGGAAAAGCATCAGGGACCACTTCAAGAGTATACCCTTTGAAACAAAAGAAGGGTTTTCAAAATCGTTGCACAGTTGATGGACAAATTGGTAAATACACGGATATGCATCTCAAATTTGAGGATTTGCTTCGATTTTCATGGGATCCCCTCATCAGATTCTGACTTGGTGAAATGGGACCAGCACGAGAGTGCACGCACCCATTCAAACTAAAAAAGAACTTTCAAAATCGGTCCACAATTGACGGAGATGTCTGAAAACATACAGCCGAACGTATAACCTCATTAAACCTCCCCCTTTTTTTAAATCGGTTAAAAATAGTTTTCTTTGTAGATAGAGTTTAGACAGAACACTTAGGTATCATGATCTTCACTTTGATGTACTTATTCAATTGTGCACTAAAGTGCAAAGTCACGGAAGTTTTATTTAATTTTATGGAATAATTCATGATTTTATTGACGCAGGTATCGGGTAGTATCTTTATGTAAACGCTAGGTGTGTATGTGTTTATTGTTATCTTATTTATTACTCGTGTTGGATTTTTCTGAATAATGGGCGGAAACATATAATTGATTGGCTTTTTAGTAATGGTTTTAAACTTGTTGGTTTTACGTAAATAAATAAAATGAAGGGTGAACAACTTTCAGCTAAACTTCTGGAGACCAAGTAAATTCCAGAACTATACGAAGGTTAATACTACGTGTAATTAAATTAAATAAATAATGCCGATGTGGGGACAAAAGAGATAGGCTCAAATGGGATTGGGCGATCCACGTTCGCGTTGGTCGGATGCAACCTGAGAAATTAACGAAAATCTCTTTGGGTGTCCGAGAAGGCTGTAGAAGGCGTTGGCGGGAAGATTTTGATGAGTTTGAGAAGGAGTGATAGGAAATCGATAGAGACCGGGAGCAGTGGACAATTTAGGGGTCGTCCTTTGCCCAGTTAAAAACAAAAAAACTGTAAACCCATCAATCCAATGAGATCACAAATATAAATTTTGCAACATTGGCCTTGAACTTTGCAAGAGAATCAAAAAATATGACAAAATCAGATTTAACAGCACTGAAATGATTGTGAGTGCAACATACACGAGATACAGCAGGGCAAGAGGGATGTTCAATGACATTGCAGCAGATTTATTAGCAGTACACTTCCTTGTGAATGAATTCGTCCAGGGAAATACTGGCATCATACCTATTTCTGCCGCCAAGCAGTAAGGTGCTTGTGAAATTGCAGGCACATGAGACTTGATGGCTTTATGTGTCAGGCTGACGGGTGCAGTAGCAGTTGAGAGAAAGATGTGCCGTACCACTTGTCCGTCCCGTCACTTGGTGTTATAAAAGAGCATTGGGTCTACAAGCCGGTAGAAGGAACAACTCGAGTGATGGCTTTCCGGGGCAAATGATATGGAACTAAGCGTGAAACATGTGGAAGTGTCCCTTCATTCTTAAAAGTTCCGTTAACAAGATTTAATGCAGAAATAGTACATCATGTAATTTACGACAATCGCATAATGACATTGGTTTAAACAATTTCAAGTACCCAGTTAGTCTATCTTTGCCTAGTTAAACTATAATTCCCATTCTACGTCTGTTGTCTGATCCGTAATTGCCGGGCGTAACCTCGACCTTGCTCTTGACTCATTGTGGTCACGTACAGCGTTGCGCACGCGCTTATTGACGTCGCTTCCGTATCGCCGGACTTTCTTATCTATGACATTGTTAATAAATATATTTCCTTTGTTTGCTGAAGTTCCGTCTTATATTAACATTTTTATGGCGTACTGTAATAATGGGGCTCGGGTGCTAAAGAGAGGAGAGTAAATGTAAAGAAAATGCACTTACAGTTTACTTAAGACGCGCAAAAGTATAAACGTTGCTTGAGGCTGAAAAAATAGCAGAACAATGACAAATAATAATTAATATAATAATGTGCTAGACATGGACTTCAATTACCTGGTCTCAAACTGGGGAACACACTTTACTATGAGCTGTGGAGTGAAGATCACTGGGGCCTTTTTTTTCTCATTACTCGACCATGGCTGTAATGACAATCATACTATTTACTCGCAAATATGATGAAAAACATTGTATGTTTCACGGATGGTACGGGAATTACGAATCACGACTGCGAAAGCCCTGAGTCTTCGACTTCGGGCTTCTAATAGAGTCTCGTCTCGTCCTTATTTACTACATATTTATTGTATTATATTATTATATTCCCTTTGTCAAATGTTTTCACTTAGGTACATTGACGGTGGAATATAATACCTTGAGAATCCACACACATCGACCACATTACATTTAGTAGCAGTAGAGCTCCTTGTGAAAGAGTTCGTCCAGGGTACCTATTTCTGCCGCCAAGCAGTAATGTTAGCATTACTGTGTTCCGGTTTTGAAGGGTAAGGGTGCTGGTGAAATTAGCGGCACGTGGGACTTGTCAACTTATGTCTCTGGGTGACGTGCGCAGCGGTAGTGCCCCTCAGATCTTTGCAATTTAAAGCTCTGAGTGGCACTGTAACTGTCATGGACAGGCGTGTAGTACCATCAGGCGCACGACTTGTTCGTCCCGTCACTTGGTAGTATAAATGTTATAAAAAAAAAATAAAAAGACCTACATTGGGCGCGAAAATAGCAATTTAAGAATATAATACTCTCCTTTTACATCCCTAATGAACGTAGCATAAAATTTTGGGGGGAAAGTTACAGTGTAACAGTGGGACAAACAAGTCGTGCGTCTTTCACTCATAGCTTTAAAGATCGCAACGATCTAAGGGATAGTGTCCCTTAAAGAATTGACATGACATTAATTGGTGAAATTGGTGAGATTACATGAAACTTATCAACCTATATTTCAGGGGTACCGGGTCAATATATGCATGATGTCAAAGTCTATCAAAGAATGGAACTCGGAACATAGATTTCTTATCAATGTGTTTGTCGTAATGTTGACAGCAGTTATTTATAGTTTTCACACGGAAGTGCACGGAGAAACGTGCACTGTAGCTCGCTACACGTGGTTATAATCATACGAATGCAGAATACTGTGTCACAATACTTAACACATTTGTTGCATTTGTATATAAATAAGGTACAGTCACAGTGTTTTAATAAGAAATTCTTAGACGATGTATTTCCACACCAGCAATAATAACTACGCTAACTTAAAAATTGCAATTTTTGCTATAACTTTTTAATTTTCAAACGTTATATTCATGATTTTTTTTATTACGACTTATTCGTCATAGATTTACAAAATATATGATATTACTTTTTGTAGTATTTTCTTAATTTTGAATTTAATTTCAATTAGCCGAATAATTTGGCATTAAAAACGCAAAACCGACAAATTTCGAGTAGTGTTAATTGATGGTACCGATTTATTTATAATTGGTTGTCTAAAGTAAGTTACAAGTGAAGATAGCCCAACAGACGCAAAGCGGAAACTTTCGCAGGCCAATCTCGCTGTTCCGATTGATTTTATCTCCCCAGCCGAAAGTTGCAGTGGACGCGAGTTGCGGTAGTCAATGTGGAAGACATTGTGAAATGTGGCATTTTTTTGACCCGGTGGAATGTGCTTACGCGCCCCGACCCTGCGGGGGCAGAAACGGGGTTATGCGGGACTGGGCTGAACCCTGAAAGGGAGCAGAAGAGCCTTCCATCCCGGGCCCCTCCAGGTGAAATGGGGCTATATCAACCCGGCTCAAAACCACTGTGCTTGCGACTCTCCCACACAAAGTCTCACTTACTCTCGTGCCCACTGTGACCTGACCTGTTATAGGCAACGCATAGAGTCTTAGAGATGCATCATTGAGATGACTCCCTAACTGGGCCCAAGAAATTTAAGACCGGTTTGTTATTGTATTGGTTTTCGTCATTGTCTCAACGAGAAGTTACTATTGGCTAATGACGTCACAATGACGTCATTGTATGCTAATTCTATATTAATCGTTGTTTTTGTCACGTGTAGCCAAAGCCATAGGTAATTAACGTAATTTTAATTGAATCTGTAGAATTGGCTCCAGTACATACTGCCATCTTTAATACTTGGTATTAGTGCACTCGACCATAGAACTGCAATTCTAATCCCGTGTAAATCAAGTATGGTACAATTTTCTATAGACAATTTTGTCAAATTTTGTATCTTTAGGTATAAGCCCATAGTAATTTCAAACATATTTGTGTACTTTTAATAAGTATTTTGCATACAACTTTTTATTGAAATGTATATGAAGAGACCGAATGAGTTTTTCCCAAAAACACCCCAGTGCAAAAGAGACCGAGGAGCCGGAAAAGTTTCATCAAACTTATCGCTCCTCTGAGCACAGAACCAGCTCAGGTGAGGTGCAACCTTTGGCGCGAAAGAGTACCATCTACCTTTGTGCTGCCTTCTAAGAATCTCTGGCCGATCTGGAAGTCTTAGGCTTCGGACTCAGGTTGGTCGGAGTGATGACAATTTGTTCAGATGGGGATTTTCGGATGATTCTAACCTGAATTCTTCGTGTGGTGCAATTCAAACGATAGTCCATCTTACATCGTACTTTAGTGTGGGCTGTACGGATTGTATTTAGAACTGGCTGAATAAATATAGGTTTGTATTTAGAATTATACAAAAATAAAAGAGCATTGTGGTAAAATGAACATGGCGGTTGTTTTGGACAAATCTTCTAATTGAATACGCGCAGTAAATCTATTCATGAATATAATCTTCGTTTCTCATTGAAAAGTGCCTCTCGCTACGCTAACCCACGGCTACGACCCTTACAATACCCTGCAAGCCCTAACACCTGCACGTTTGAGGATTTAATGGCGGCTACTAGTGACGCGGTTGGCATGGCTGAGTGCAGGGCCACAATAGATTTTTTATTCTTTTTATAATACCAAGTGATGGGACGAACAAGTCTTGCGCCTGATAGTAAGCGACACGCGTATTTATAACAGTTGCAGTGCCACTCAGAGTTTAAATCGCAAAGATCTTAGGGGCACTGCCACTGCGCCCGTCACCCTGAGACATAAGTTGACAAGTTCCATGTGCCTGTAATTTCACTAGCACCCTTTCCCTTCAAAAACGGAACACATTACTGCTTGAGATCAGAAATAGGTAAGGTACTTCCCTGGACGCGTATATGGTTTCCCGTATACAGTACGTCCCCCAAGGAGAGACGAGTCCGGCACGCTTTTCTAAGGGTCTAAACAACTGAAATACCGTGCACAGCATGCCACCTCGAAGTGACGAATTAGATACGCCTTTCTAGCTACCACAAAAGTTTAAGCGATTAAAAAACCGTATTTAGTACGTACATTAGGTGACGAATTAAGTACTGGTTTTCGTAAGAAACACTCGTAAAAAAGCGTCACTGATTCGTCACGTCGAGTAATTCCAGAATCAAAAACTCTAAGGTAATACACAGTTCAAACGAGATTGTCTCTTATTGTTTTAAGTAAACAGTGCAAAACGCAAATAATAAACGCGGAAGCTATCTCTCTCCGTCTCACCTACACTACCAATAAACAACTACAAAATAGACAACTCGTAAGCTCTCTAATAAGTTGCATGTATGGTGATATTGGCATGTTTGAAAATAGGCCAGAAATAATAATATCAATAACAACTGATTTCGCGCGAGTGCAGTGTCACAGTTCATTTGGATCTTGCATATATTTTACGTAATTCGCGGCATAACTTCTAATTAGTATCGTTTGTGTTTGAGTTAAGATTATTTAAAATGGATGAAGAACGATTTACACGTCTAGTTAGTAAACTAGTGACTGACTTTTAATTATTGAAGTATGATTCTAGTGACTCGTGTGGCCAAATGAATACGTGCTTCACATTTATTTTTGCTCCCACGAAAATAGACGCTGTTCCTATTGCAGTTGCACTGCATACTAGTCAAACAGATGAAGAACTATTTCCTCGTGTTCACGGCAATAAAAGAAAAACTAGAAAGAGACTGTGATGTAGTGTTCAATCCTAACATTATAATGAGTGATGATTCCACAGACGTAAAAGTGGAAAAAATAAATGAAGAATTTAAACGTATTGGTCCAGTTTTAAAAAATGATGTTGATGTTAGCAATTTAATCTAGTTACTCAATTTCTTGGCGTTCTGGAGAATTTACAAACGTCGTCACATATACTGGCTTTTGTTTGTAAGAAAAATTTGCTACGGCGATCGCGGAAGATCAAGGTGCAACCTACTTCAGTGGCTCGAGGAAAAAATAGAGGGATTGAAGGTGAGAGGATGCGTAAAAAGATACGTCACAATGTTCTTTAAACATCAAAGTAATGAGCCCGTGGCAAAGAAATACTAGATTTAATAGATTCCCGTATTAATTCAACTCAGTTTATAAAGATCTGAAATAACACAAGTTATTATCAATACACATTTAAGTTCTTATTATATGATAACTGCGGCATAGCAAAAAAGGGCACTTATTCCATAAATAAAAGCAAATCTCTAGATCAATCAAACAACTTTAATAATATAAACACGCTAACTAATAACTATACACTTACCATCACTTACTTAATTTCTGTAGTATATTTTGTAATAGATTTAATGGATAACATGTAATTTTTGTCTTCGAAAAATTCTTTCAGACTGTAATAGCACTTGTTTGTTTCCTAATCAATTTATGTTGTATTTGATAAAAACTGTTTAAATATATAAATATTGATAATGATTAATTTTGTAATTGTATTCCTTTTAACTTTAATAAATACATAAATTGTATACTACAGCAGATATTTCGTTTGAGTAATTACTCGAGCGACGTACTGTATACGGAAAGGCATATACGCTCCCTGGACGTACTGTTACCTTACCTGGACTCTTTCACAAGGAATTGTACTGCTACTAACATAGCAGCTGCTAGTAGTAGTGTATGCTATAGATACGATAAGAAGAGGAAGAAGTTTGTATCTACAATAATGATGATTCTTATATATACAATTGCATTTTATACGTTATATTTGTTAATGTACCTACAATATTTCTACATTGCCAAATTATGTAGACATCGCACTGTATTGCATTTTAAAGCTACTGTTCACAATTCTGGTGACGGCAGGAAATACCGTAGCTACATTGAAAGGGGACTTTCTTAGTAGTCTCTTTTTAGCGTAACGACGAGTTTACGTTAACATCTAAATACTAATTAATACTACGATCATTACTTTATAGTGAAACAACAACCGATACTTTGAATGTTTCTGATTTCGGCATCTAAAACTAGTGTTATCTATTTCACTTTACTAAAGTTAAATGTACCTAATTACCGATAACATTTTGTTTAATATTCTTTTGATGTACAAACGAGGGAAACCTTTCATTGGCCATACTATTGTAAAATACCGTATGTAAGACCGTTAGTTTTCTTAATAAATATATTTAAAAAAATAGACGTGAAACTGAAGTTGGACCAATTTTCCTTTTATTGTTGCTGTTGTTTGCACTAAACATTCCACTCTTGCAGTCCATTTATTATCCAGGCAGGAAATGATGGTATACAAAACAGCTTTTCTCAATAGTTTACTGCGCTTAGAAGTAATATTTCCACATTTTACGATAGAAAATGAGACAGACAATCCTTCAAATTGCGACATGCCTATAATTACGCTCGGTTGGCTTCCGCAGGCAAGAGACGAGCAGTCGGCGTAGCGTGAAGATATAGGCTCAGATTTGCTCATTATTGTCATTGTAGCTATTATATCTCAATGATACATAAATATGGGATGCTATAAAACCAGATAAAACGCAGAAATAAAATACTTATGAGTAACAAAATGCTACATCAAAGAATACATAAATTTGCACAGTAACGACGTAATCGACTATTCTCACAAAGACTTAAAAGATTGTTCCGTCGATGTGCAAAAACGAAAAAGAAATTTGTATTATTGAATAACGATGAGTTGTTTTGCTGATTTGTTGGACTACATACTTGCATGTAATCGTAAACAAATCGTATATTTCGGAGAAATGCTCGGAGTTTCTTTGAATGACAAGGTAGAAAACGCAGTTATCCGACAGAGAACCAAGGTCGTCGACATAGCTTGTAGAATAAACAAGCTGAAGGGGCAGTGGGTTGGCTATATCTGTCGAAGAACCGATAGTCGATGAGGGAAGCGAGTTTTTGAGTTGAGACCACGTCTCGGCAAACGTAGTGTAGGACGCCTTCTGGTCAGATGGAGTGACAATCTGCGAAAGGCTGCTCTGGCAGCAGAGGGATACGACAAGCTACGGACTGGGCGAAATGGCGCTTTAGGAGAGGCCTATTAGCGATGAACCGGATCGAGTTAGTTCGAGTTCACAAAAAGTACCTCGAGTTGACTCGTGGGAGTAACCGAGTTAAGTAGGTAACTCGAGTCGCCCATCGCTAAGGCCTATGTCCAGTAAGCAGTAATGTTAAAGTAAATGTTTTTTTCTGCCGCCAAACAGTAATGTGAGCATTACTTCCGGTTTGGAAGGGTGCTGGTGAAATTACAGGCACATGGGACTTGTCAACTTACGTCTCAGGGTGATGGGCGCAGTGGCTGTGCCCCTATGATCTTTGGGATTTAAAGCTCAGAGTGGCACCGCAACTGTTATGGATAGTCGCTTACCATCAGGCGCACGACTTGTTCGTCCTGTCACTTGGTACTAAAAAAAATAAAGCGGTGGCCTGCGAAGCATTACGTTTGTGTTATTTATAATATTACCTATTGTAGAATTCGAAATTGCATGAACACTCAAAGCCGTTACAAAATCGATTTTCTCAACATTCTTGAGTGAAATAGTGCATTCCAGTCTGAGACATAAAAGTTCTTGTTCGCTGGAATGTTCAAGCGATGAATTGTACTTTATATAATATTGTACCTGCAATGAAGATAACCACAACGTTTCACAAAAGGGCGTTTATAACCTGGTTGTGACAGCCTTCCGTTAAAATTTCCGAGTTCTTGTTGTTAGGAGCAGGAAAACTGCCTGTTACTAATATTTGTATAAATATATTTACAGTCGCCGCATTTTTGTTCAAACATATAGAATGTTACAGTGCTTTCTAAATATTCACAAATTTTTAAACGTAAATTGAGGAATAGTCACCTGTATTAGTATATAACTTTTATCATCATCCCATTTATACTTCCCACTGCTGAGCACGGGTTTCCTCTCAGGCGAGGGTTTAGGCCATAGTCCGCCACACTGGCCCAATGCGGGTTGGGGACGACACATTTTTCCGAGGGTTGCATTCAAAAATTTCGCACATAAATTACGTGGATCGCAGTGGTGCGAACCCGGTTTCGAACACACGTCCTCTGTCCGAATGGCGTCAGGTCAAACCATTAGGCTGCCTTGACTCTTTCTCTCGTAAATTTTTTTTGATTTATTGAAATTGAATTGTTTGATGAGAATGGACTACACCAAAATCTTCGTTCTTTTCATTTCTTGGCATGTTGTTGAATTCGGAACTATTTTTTCGAATCTAAATCGCGTGTTTTTGTTTCTGCTGTGGATCTCGGCTGCATGAAGTCGATTTCGACTGCATTGAGTTAATGCGTGAAGTCTTTATCCGACTGCATTAACTTGATTACGACTTCACGCATTAACTGAAAACATTCAGTCAATCAGTTAACAGCCATAGGGTATCGACTTTACATGCCGATTGTTGCCCGGGGTTCACCAGAGTACCTACTAAGAATATGAGAAATACGTTAGTTATCCCCTTAGTTTAGTTAATAGAATCTTTAGATGCCTAGCAAGACGTGGTAGCACCCAATACCCCTTCATCAATTTTATATTGTTGTGCATGTTTTAGGCGAAAGCAGCGTCTGCCTATCAAGTTCCTGCATCTACACCGCCAGCGAAGTGATCAGAGCTCTGGACGAGACCCAAGATCCATGCAATGACTTCTACGAATTTGCGTGCGGGGGTTGGATTAAGAATAACCCGATACCAGAGGGGAAATCCAGTTGGGGCATCTTTAGCAAGATCGAGCTGCAAAACCAGTTAATCATCAGATATGCTTTAGGTAAGTTTTAGGTAAGACGATTTTTGCTTCAAAAATAATCGGAATTAAATGTACACACGCCAGCACATCAAGCTACACATTGACGTATCTTATTCCGTTGCACTGGAGGCGATTTTCGAACATAAATGTGTAGTCTGATATGCCGTTGTCCGTACATGAATACATGGAATGAAATGATATAAGTACCTTTCTTCTTTCCATGCTCCTATAAGCCACATCTTGGAACATGAATGTAGTTAGTACCTACCTATTTGCTTAGGGATCTAATTTTGTAATATGAAGTTTATTTACGATATAATACATATGATACTTTTTTGTGTGAAATTACTCCACTAGTTTGTTATAATTTATTAATACAAAGATCGATCACAAAGAAATATTCATTCGATCCGGCTAGATTCGGACCAGTGTCGTCAGCATACCAGGTATTAAGTTAAAAACATAAAAAGTGGCATATTAAGTTTACAACTTTACTTTGCACTGGGTCACCACGATCTTTCCTGCCAACTGAGCGCCGGCCATATCTCCCGGCATGCACTCTTCAACGACATCATCCGCCGGGCCTTTGCCACTGTTAACGTGCGGCGTGTCGCGAACAGATGGGAAACGCCCGGACGGAATGACTCATCCCTTGTAGTATGGGCCGGACACTGGTGTAGGACGCCACATGTGCCGACACACTTGCCCCATCCCATCGCCAGCACACCAGCAAGAGGGCTGGCTCCTCAGCTGAGCTGGCGGAAAGAATAAAAAGTTATAAGTACCAGGATCTCGGCTCCTGCTACCTATTTACAGCCTTTGGAGTCGAAATCCTTGGCCCGTGGAGTCCCATTATCATCTGTACAAAATTTTATCCAAAAGATTATGGACTGTCTGAGAAACCCAAGGGCCGGCTATCTTGCCCAACGCATTAGCATAGCAATATAAAGGGAGAATGCCAGTATCTTAGGCACCTTGCCGCGGGGACCCAAATTTTTTACTTTCTAGTATTTAAGCTTTCATTGTCTTTTTTACCTTACCTGTATATTATCAAAATAAAAATAATTACTTTACAACAATTTACGTATGAGGTATCCACATGTTGTACAATAATATTTATTTTTAATACCATTAAAAGTTGTAAGTATTTATAATAATCGCTACAATTATTGCAAAAAAGAACAAAATACAAACGTGGTGGTTTAATGTGAAATAAACATTTTTTATTTATTCATAAGCTGATGATGATAAATTAGATTTGTTATTATCTGTATCGTGCATTTAGGATTTATGTTTACGTACATCTAATAGGAAATGAAACTATTTTTTCGAATTTAAATCGCGTATATTTGTTTTTTCAAACAAACTAACGTTTCGGGCCCTTTACAGGTCCCACGGTCACGGTTGACTGACCTGTGGAAGTGACCTGTAAAGGGCCCGAAACGTTGGATTGTTTGAAAAAAACAAATGTACGCGACTTAAATCCGGAAAAGTAGTTTCATTTCCTATGTGTAACAATCGCGAAAACCTAAGAACTCGATACATCTAATGTTTTATAAACATCCAAGTAAGGAATCTTAAGTTTAATAAAAATATCTGGGGTATAATTTTGAAAACAACCATCAGTTTAGAACGCATTTTTCTTACATATCTACAATTCAAGATTAAAATATTATTACAGTACGTAATGCATGTTCTGACAGTTATATCTTTTGTTCACTAGATATATCCGTTAAATAGAAATTGCATCGTTCTTGTAATAATTTCACATCTTCAAAATGACAACTTTTCAGGAGAGCAGTTTAATGATTCTACGAACAAAATTAGTTATCCGGGTATCTTTAAGGTACGACTGAATAGGCATCTTCTGGGCAAACTCGTTCCATCGTAGATCCTATCCTTGCTCCAGACCTAGATAGTGGTCAAGGGCAGGTCCATTTAATAAAAAAAAATTGTTGATAACTTTTATATGTATAAATAGCTAGTAGCAGTAGAGCTCCTTGTGAAAGAGTTCGTCCAGGGTAGTACTGAAGTAGAATCGAAAAAAAAACCGGCACCGGTGAGAGAGGGTGCATACACAGGTTTTTAGTGAGTAGATCTCCGAGGCTCTATCGGGCGAGTTTTTCTCACCGGGTGGGTTCATAGAGGAAAGTCCCATATTTACCCGCCATGCCATTGCCCGCGGTGGGGTATGCATAATGCATTTACATGTGTATATAAAGGTACAAGCAGTGATGTGAACATTGCTGCGTTCCTGTTTCGAAGGGTAAAGCGCTGGTGAAATTACAGGCACATTTATTAACTGCCTCCGTGGCCGAACGATTACCGTGCCGGACTGCCACGCAGAGGTCCCAGGTTCGATTCCCGGGTCGGGAGAAATATTTGTATGGCCTACATTATTTCTCTCGTGAGTTTGGGTGTAATTTGTGGTTGTCTATGTGTGTGTCCATGGCACCCGGGACACAGGGTTTCCCCAGTGCGGGCCCATGTTGAGTGTGTGCGTTATTATAAAAAAAAAAAAACATGGATCTTGTCAACTTATATCTTAAGGTGACGGGTGCAGTGGCAGTGCCCCTCAGATAGTTGCGATTTAAAGCTCTGAGTAGTAACTGCAACTGTTATGCACAGGTGTGTAGCTTACCGTCAGACGCACGATACTCCCGTCACTTGATATTATGAAAAAAAAACTAGCTATAAAATTTCGCACATATGATTTGTTTCATGCAGTTCGTATTACTTTTATGACTTCCATGTGATAAAAGCAAACATGTAGTAAATTAAAATAATAAAAAAAGAAAAAATAATAATAAACAATACTTGCAATGTGTTTTTGTACTTGACACATTTAGTCATTGCCGATTTGTGTAGACTACGCACGCGCGAACGGACAATACTCTTGCCCAGTATGCTGGCTGGCAGGCACCACGACTACATCAAGCTACACATTTTAGCTCAGATACCGCCTCTAGAGCAAAGGAGCAAAATTCGTATATGTGTATGACAATGCGATCTCTTTCATCGTCATCCAACCCTTTTAGCATCCTTTTCTCTGGTTCCTGGCCACCAACTTTGAAAATTTGAATCGTTCTTAGTCGCCACTCTCTACTAAATTTCCGAAGTGAGCTAACGTGCTCGACTACCCATAAAATTCTGAAGCAAAAATTCAGCTAAATCAAGCAACCTAACTGCTTGTGAAGTATAGCGTTTCTAGAAAATACAGGCCCTTTTGGGGAGGTTCCTTTTTACCATAACCTGTATTCAATTTAAGTTGGGAGTGTTTTTATACGATTGTACCTGTTATTACATCATTATGTTTTGTGACAACCTTTACGCTTTTACTTTACCCTTTCTTTATTTCCACAATAAAATTCTTGTGAATCGAGCCTTCTACCAAACTACGCTAGGCCCGCGTGTCATGTGTAGCTTGTGATGCTGCTGTCCGTACATTTGAATACTGTTTAACTGTGGCATAAGTGTCAAAAGTCTCGACACTCGCAAGATTGAAAACGTCAGCCTTGAGTCTCGAAAATGCCAAAAAATGTCGACACTAGCGAAATTTTCCAGACCGAGGTTTCCCGGTCGCTATAATAGTACAGTTAACAGAACATCAGACTACACATTTTTGTTCGAAAATCGCCTCCAGTGCAACGGAATAAGATACGTCAATGTGTAGCTTGGTGTAAATGGGTTGGCGCTGCTTAAGTTCAAGTACCGATCCACCAGTTGTTGAAATTGAGTTCAGCATTTAATATGTTGTTTAAACCAGTACCACAGATGTAAATGTTTATAGTCCGTGGTAAAACCGTAGTTTAGGACGTCTCTATTAACTATAACCTAAAAACTTCGTATTTGTAATTAATTAGTAAATTTTATTTCGCTTTCATATTATAACAATCACTATCAATTAAGTTTATTTTTAAATATTGATAGCATATTTTGTGACATCATTTAATTTTCGCTACCTGTCATAACACTATAATACATTTACCCTATTACTTAACTCGTCGTTTCTGAACATGTGGTCACATCCCTGAGGGGTTGCGTTCTGGTATAGTGTAGGTCGTAACAAAGCAATACCTACATTTTTTTTTGCCTACAGATTGTATGCCTTTCGTGATTTTTCACTAAATTATTATCACTTTTTTATTATCACTTATTCTCCCGACACTTGAAAAGTCAACCCGTGACCATGGGTCACGGTTGAAGGTGGATAATAAGAAAAAATCATACCGTGATAAGAAACCAGTAACTCTGCCTTCCTTGTCATAACGAACGCATTTGTATTTTAGTAACTTTCGAGATATTAGTACCTATAGTTTTATTGTCACCTAAAAAATGCCAATCACGCTTATTTTCCTTAAAAATAAAACTGAAACTATAGTCCATTTGTTTAGGTACTAAATGTAAACAACCTTGACATTTCTATTTAATGAAATATACTTTTATAAAATGATTTTTGTTTACCTTCAAATACAAAATACAAATACTTAGCTTCATATGAAATTGCATGCCTATTTTTCGACTCATCCGGAGAACAAAGTCCGATGTGATTATATAGCGAAAAGAGGATAAAACACAGTCTCGTTATTCAAAAGGCCTATATAAAGATGTTTTCAGGTTTTTTTTATTACGAACACACGAACACACTCAACATAGCGTCGCACTAGGGAAACCCTGTGTCGCGGCTGCCACGGACACACACATAGACAACAACAAGTTACACCCAAACTCACGAGAGAAATAAATGTGGACCATGCAAAATTTCTCACGGCCCGGGAATCGAACCTGGGACATCTGCATGGCAGTCCGGTATGGTAACCATTCGGCCACGGAGGCAGTTAAACGATCTTGACTGTGGACATCCACAGTCAAGAACAACGAACGAAATGTACAATGTCCTGAGGGTAAGCAGCATCTTGCACATAGGTCTTTGTTCTACGGATGAGTCGTTTTATACCAATTGATTTGTAAAGCATATATTTCAATAATGTATGTAATGTATCCAGGTGTATGTATATAAT